TAGGGAAAGTGAAGAATTTAAATCAAATTGTTTTGATACCTTATAAAATCCCCAGTAGCAGAGGTATTTAAAGATCAGTTAGACACATATTTTTTGATGATGAGTGAAAACAAATAGCATACAAATACTCAAAACCAATGAAGGGATGCAGCAAAGGGAAACTGTGTTTCACATCATGGAGGCTATGAAAAAAAAATACTTAAAAGAAAATATCATATCCTGGCGACTAAGTCCTGAGTGTAGAGAGACATAAACCTTGTTATTTCTTTTCTATCCGCAATTCTTTCTTTTTTTTTTTTTTTGGTACATGGTTCATTTTAATTCATCTTGAAGTTGACTGGCAAGATAGCTAGCCACTTACCTCAAAAGATCCACAAGTATGATGAAAATTAAATTTTCCTTCTAATGGAGACTACATCTGTATTTTCTCTCTTTTGGACTAAAAAGTTAGCTCTAGTATTGGCCCACACTCTAGTGTGAAGACAGTCTCTTCATTTCTTCACTACCTTTCGCCACCCTCCAGCCACTCAGTGAACAGTTTTTGATGCTGAAGTTTACCGCATACAACTAAGATTTGTCTGCTACAAATACAGTTTAGTGAATTCACTTCTCAAAACTGTATAGGGATACCTACCATCTTTCACATTTTCTGAATTTCTAAGACAATTTTTACCCTCATAATCTGCTCCATGTGTTAAGATACATGCTTTATTGTTCTATAGTATGTTGAAAGGATTTTGTTGTGGAAAATCTCATACTGAGTTTACTGATAGCATTCCTGTCTGTGTTGTCACAGCAGATGCATAGAAAGAAGCTTTCAGAACAGAGTGCTTGTTGAACAGCATGATGTGGAAGGTTATTTTTTTTCAGTTGGCCACTTCATTTCAGAGCTTCATCCCTAAACTAGAACTGTATCACATACTGCAGGCATTAAGCTATAAAACATTTTAAGCTTTGAGAAATCCTCTTTTCAAATCACATTCGAAGGTGGTGCAGAGGCACTGAGGAGCAGGCCAGATGTACATAAAAATTTATAAATAGCTTTCTGATCAAATGGGAATGTTGTTAGAAAAAGACAGTTATCACTGTGATATCAGGAACAGTTTAAAAAGGCTGCCAGTGTTGTAAAATGTGATGCATGTACATTTAATACAATGATACATTTTACATTCACATACTTTACAAGAGTATATTTTAATCAATCTAGATAACACTGCCAGAATTTTGACAAGGAGGAATGGCTTTAGTCGACATGAAATAAGTACTTACCTTCTACCAGTGGTGATATCGGACAATGACTACCCAATCCAGAGCAGCACTGGCACACTGACCATTCGAGTGTGTGCCTGTGACATCCGTGGTAACATGCAGTCCTGCAATGCTGAGGCCTTGCTCCTCCCTGCTGGCCTTAGCACGGGGGCACTGGTTGCCATTCTCCTCTGCATCGTTATCCTGCTAGGTAAGAAAAACAAATGCATCTTTCCCCCCCTAAACAAATGCTTCAGGCTCATTTTACAATGCTATATAGGATGGTAAAATAATTATAATAGATTTTCCAAGAATTCAATAACAACTTAAACAAAAAAAGGCAAAACACTTTTGTCTGGGAATTAGACATTGTAAATAAGAATTCAAGTCCCAGACTGTCAGCTATCAGTGTGCAACCAGAAGCTCATTTTTGTTCTTTCGTTAAGTTGTCCAGAAAAGAAAATTTGAGAGGAGGAATAGCATAATCAAAAATCACTTTCATGTCTTTCATTTTATTTTTTTTTTGAGGATTTGTCTGTTTTTTAAACAACTATCTAAAGTCAACATGCAGTATATATTCAACAGAATATTCCAATAAATATTATTTTTCTATTCTAAAGCACTGTGTAAACAGAGGTTTCTGTGTTGTAATGAAAAAAAAAGAAAGTAAATTTTGTAAAACCTACATTTTACAATTTTCAGAATATCACTTAATGGCCTATAATTAATCTCAAAGCCAGTTTTTAACTGCATACTTTGAGCTTAAAAAAGGGAAAAAGATCTTCATAATAGACCTATTTTAAAACTCACTGAAGCTACTGAAGGAGCATGTAGAAAAGCTCATGTTTCTGCAAAGCAGAACACACGTCTGTGCAAAATAGCACTTTTCAATATAGACGTTACTGTGCTACAATAATACAGCTAGAGATGTTTATCTATTTATCAGATAGAAATGAATTGCTGAAATAAAGCTCTTGTATCTGGTGGATTTGCTACTAAGAAATTGTTAAATAGAGATCTTTACCCAATCTTTGTTTCTCTCTTTAAGTTATAGTGGTGCTGTTTGCTGCTCTGAAGAGGCAACGAAAGAAGGAGCCTTTGATCCTCTCCAAGGAGGACATCAGAGACAACATTGTGAGTTATAATGACGAAGGTGGTGGAGAGGAAGACACCCAAGCCTTTGATATCGGCACACTGAGGAATCCTGCAGCTATCGAAGATAAGAAACTTCGACGAGACATTATCCCTGAAACATTATTTGTACCACGGAGGACTCCTTCAGCACCAGATAACACAGATGTCCGAGATTTCATTAACCAAAGGCTAAAAGAGCATGATACTGATCCTTCTGCACCGCCGTATGACTCACTTGCAACCTATGCCTATGAAGGAAATGATTCAGTAGCTGAATCCTTGAGCTCCTTAGAGTCGGGTACTACTGAAGGAGACCAAAACTATGATTACCTACGAGAATGGGGTCCTCAGTTTAATAAGCTAGCTGAAATGTATGGTGGAGGAGAAAGTGACAAAGACAATTCTTAACATGCAGTAGGCTACATTTTTGTTTCCTTTGAGCGGAAGTAATTTTACAGACACCTTCTGCACTCAACAGTATTTAACATTCAGGAAAATTTTCCTGCCACTCAGCACAATGGTTTCCTTTTAGAATTTGTTTTAAATTTGTACATTAATGTCATTCATTCTTTCTAGTAGGATGCCACTTGAAATATATACAGCATTTTATTTAATCACCTTCCAAAAGCCAAAGCTATGGAAAAGCAGTGTTGTCCATTTTAGTAACTAAAATACACAATACGTTACCTTCTGAAATTTGAACAAGGTGATAATCCCTTAAGCAACCTCATGTACAACCGCTTCTGTTAGTTACATGTCCTATCCTTGCAAGTGCAGCTTTTAAGATGGCAAAGAAGAAAAAATCCAATTTGTCCTGTTCTGTACATTAAAATTAAAACAAAATGTACACGTGGTGTTAATAAGTGTAATATGCAGCTGGTTTAAAAAAAAAGTTTGTGCAACTTCATTTCATCAAATTCTATCTGCCAATGTTTTATATTTATATTTTTGTATTTATTTTTAAGAAATAAACCAGTTTTTATAACTATGTTGATGCTTGCCTGCCTGTTCTGGCCATCAGTTCCAAGGTTGAGAAGAACATGAAATTTCTCTGATGACAGCACAGCCAACTGCTAGTACTTCTATGCCAAAATAGTCTCCATAGGTTTAACATGAAGTGCTTTTGCTTACAGGGAGATTATCAAGTTATAGACCTATTTGCTTGCTCAAAAGTGATACTTCCTACAGTTGCCATGTTTAAGACAAATTTTGTTTCAGTTTTAGCTGAACTGATGATATTCTATTCTAGAAAGATGAACTACAATTTTGTCTCAAATTGAATTTATTCTAAAAAAATGCTGGTACAACTAATCTATACAAACACAAAGAATTAGTTTCAAAAACTGAGTTTAACTGTTCTGTAATTATCCATTTTTAATCATAATTGCATCATCAGAGGTGATCTGTAACTGCAATGGTTAATGTGTAAAAAGATGTTTAAACAATCATTTCTAAGCACCGTCCTTTTCTGAACATTAATCATTTGATGACAAACCACTGCTGTGTTGTATTGCAACCATCCAAGGTTAATCTAGTCTCCTTTAAAGCTGTCAGGTTGAAGGCTAACAAAGTGTCAGTAAAACTAGCACATACACCCCAATTTACTGAGTTTTCTGATAGCTTGGAAATGTGCAGTAAAAAGAAACCTGAGCAACTAGCCAACTGTAACAGAAATCATACTTTAGCTATCACTAAACAAGGTAAATATCCCAAGACATTTTAAGATGTCTATTTTTTTCTTTAAGTCTTTTAGATTACACAAATCTGTTTAGTAAACAAACACTGAGATTTTGAAGCATTGCTCAGATTAAATAATCTCAGAGCAAAAGCAGGATTTCATAGTGTTTGTATTTATTTACTTACAGTGGAAGAAACACATCTGAAGGATAGTATCTCCTCTATCTCTTTTAACTTCTTACAGGCATAAAATCAGATATTGAAAATATATTAGTCCTACAAAAAATGCAATGCTGCATTCTTTATTGATCAGATATTTCTTCTCCATAATGGAGTGATTAAACCCAATTAAGTTGAAAGCTGAATATGGTGCCATTATACATGTTCTTTTGGTGCAATAAGGATGAAATTTTTATTGACTTGATATCAAGTTAAACTATTTGATCTATTAAGAAACTGTGAAGATTATGGATTTTTTTTAAATTTTACTCAATAATACTTTCATTAACTAAGGAATTATTATATTCCCTAATAGAAAATAATTCTGAGAATATTAAGAAGCATCTTAGATAATCAGTATTACAAAGCTTTATAGAAGTCTTACAGGCCATACAAACAGATTATCTTCTTTATGATTATCTATTGAAGTAGATCTATTTTTTCTTCCTTCCTAATCTCCATTTGTCCTTCAAATGCATGCAACAGGAAGAAGCAAACAAAATTAATCCATTAGATGCATAAGTAGCCAAAAGGAACTGGTTTTTGTCTGCAGCAACTTTGAGCTCAGTAACACCCTACAAATTCAACTGAGTATGGATTAGGACAGAAAATAAAATAGGCTGTAATACAGCTGTTTATTACCTCTTTGTTAAAAACAAGATTTTGGTTGAACAGGTTCAGCCAACACTTTTACATGTAACTCAGTAAGATTCTCTGTGGTTTTTTCCACACACAGCTCCCTCACTCCTTAAACATATCAGTAAATGTCAAATAAGTCTCTATTATTTTGATTTGCATTACAGTTATTTCAGAATAATACTGATGTGAAAATATTTGTCTATCACTACATTTAAGGGAGTTATATTATAATTATGCAGCAGAATATGGACCCAATGTTTAAGATTTAATCCTATATGCATTATTAAATAAAATAGTAGTATACATTGTGGAAGTACCTAACACTGTATAATCAACATACTACTAAATTTAATATATAAATAGTATAAATGAAAATTTGTTTCACCTCTTGCCATATCTTTGCAGTTTTATTTTCCAGTATATTTTAGGAAAAGGAAAAATATCCATTTCAGCACTATTGTTGCTACTGTGTAAATGACATATTGCTGTAAAAAGATATACCATTTTACTCTAAAAATATCTCAGCTTAGTGGAAGTGGACATACGAACATGCAGTCACAGAATAGTTCACAGTGTTCTCCATGCTCTTACATGCCACATATGAGTCATAATAGCTTAGTCAGAAGTAAGGCCATATAGTAAAACGTAAAAGCCATGAGTATGAGATGTCATGGAAAGGGAGAGACAAGGCTTAAAAAGCACTACTCCACTGTCTTTCATACACCCTTACAATAGTGAGGAATTGGAAAGTGAAACTCCAATACAATTCAAAGTGGAGAAAATGTAAAATAGGATACCTACTTCCCAAGTAATACCTGCTAAGCTTTGCCACATGAATTTGTATGAAACTCAACAAAATGTAACATGTAGCAAACAAGATCCTTGTATTGTTTAGTCCAAATGAATTTTCTATATGTTCCTATGACAAAAATGCCACAACATCACACAAAACACATAAAATACTTTAATATTGAATTTCAGGTGAAATGTACAAATGACTTAAAAGACAGACCTTACAAATGTTTAAAAATTCAGAAACATATAAAAACTGCTACTGAACCCCCAGGAGAGAGTGAGTTCTTAGAGTCTGTTGCAATGAATTGATTTTTTTTAAAGGAATTTTGTGAAAGGAGGTATATACAAGATCTTGTGTTAATGACAACAACAAAAACAGTAGTATTTCATAGGCCTTTTAGGGAAATGGTAGATGGTAAGAACAGTCAAAGCAGACTAAAAACATACAGAGAATTAAAAAACCCACCTAAATCAACAAAACCCTCACATTCCACATCATCAGGTCAGTATTCACTAGCTGCCAGCCCTGCATATGCAAATGTTTTTCACTCATTCACTGTTTCAAGGTGTCACATTTCCACCATTTGTCCCTCAACTACATGTATTACTATCCTCTGGCCAAAAAATTTACCAATTGCATTACCGTCTCTCAAGAGGGTATCCTTCATTCCTTTCACTTAATGTCCAGTGTGACTCTATTGCCCTTGAATTAGATTTCCTATAATGTTTTGGGGTGTTTTTAATTCTTATGTTACCTATCACACAAAGCTGGAAGAAAAAGAATCAAATTTGCTACATTATTCTCCTTTAAATTTCTTATAATTTGCTCCTACTGGAATAACTACAAAAATACCAGTTAAAGGCTACAGAGTTCCTCACTATGCTAATTGTGAATAGTGGAGAAAATTAAATTATTTAAATTGCGAAATTATTTAACGGTGTTTCTCTAGGTTTATCCAACATTTGGAAAAAGTAAATATTTTGGCTTATCATTAACTACTCAGAAGAAAAATCAATTAACTTTTTAGGAAGTTTGTTAGTAACATATATCTGATATAAGTATATAAGCATATAAACAGAATAGTTTAGGCTTCCTTACTTTTTTGTCAAGCTAGTGAACTGGAGCTCTGACTCTAAAAGTTACCAGAAGTCTTCGAACACTGTATTATCATTATCAGACTCACTTGAACAGCACAGAAATTGCCCAACAATAATCTGTTCACAGCAAGATCAGCAGATATATGTTCAAGCTAAAACAATTTCACTTATTCATAACAATGTTATCTATTATGTCAGAAAACATTATGTGAATAGTAAACATAAGGAGATAATAGCAAATATAAGGAAACATGAATATAATTTTTTTACAACAAAATGTCATGGGCTTTTCTATTGTCCCTCCAGTTTTTGAGAGGTTTATTCAAACTCTATTCCAGTATGGTTGAACTGGCTGAAAAGTCACTTTCCACATAACTGAAGATGTAAAATGTAGTAATAACAACATGGGAATCAATAAATACACACAGATAAAACTAATTTTTTTTTCTTTTGTTTTATCTTCTTTATAGCTATTCTTGTTTTCATTTTAAAGGAATATCATCAACGATGAAATTAAAATGACAGTTATTAAACTATTGTTTTTTCTGAATGCAAGTTACTTTTTTTTTCAAAAAAATTTTCAAACAAAATATTTCACTTTTGAGAAAACTTCATTGTCTTTAAGTTGGTGTCAAGCTTAGTAAACAATGAAAAATAAAAAGCTCTTTGAAAAGAAATATGACAAATATGCTTTCTTTGATTTTTTTGCTACAAACCAGACATCAGATATATTTTTAACATACACTTGGCAAAATATTACTGAGCATTTTCGTTAATGTTGAATAACAGTATTTTGATTATTGATTAAACATTGGAAGAAAATATTTTCTAAATATACCTACATCCATGTTTAGGTATTGTGTGTGGAAACTTTCAGCAAGCTTCTCATATCTGGTCTTTTAAGGAAAGAAGAACAAGTTTTATTGTATAATATACATTAAAATTCCAGAGGAAAGCCAACAGTTAAGTTTAGAAAGTTTATTTTATGTTTCAAACAGACTATGGGATGACAGAGTAGTGTGACTTGCAGCTGTATGGTCACAAAAAGTACAGCAAATCCAATAAATTCATTAATCAAAAACTCTTGAAAAGTTTTGGAAGTTATGACTGTTGACAAACCTTAATTTAAGGGGGAACTTTGGTATATTTAACAATGGTTTATAAAGAATGTCTTCATCATAATGAACATCTATAGTATGTATCTCCCCTCATGACTTTCATCATCATAAAGAATTACA